CTCAAGCGCCTGTTCATCTCCTCTCCCATCCTCGTCTACCCTGACCGATCACTTCAGTTTGTTGTGGAGACGGATGCGTCTGAGACTGGGGTAGGTGCTATACTATCCCAACGCTCTCCCCTAGATAACAAGATGCATCCTTGTGCTTTCTTCTCTCACAAGCTTGATCCCCCRGAGAGGAACTATGATGTTGGTAATCGAGAGCTACTTGCTGTGGTGTTGGCATTGGAGGAGTGGCGACACTGGCTCGAGGGTGCGGAGCACCCCTTCATTGTCTGGACGGACCACAGGAACCTTGCCTATATCCAGACAGCATCATATGTGTCCCCACTGAAAACAGTAACACAACCTACTTTTGACAACTGAGTCGGCTAAATGCTCAGTGAATATTACGACTTGAGGCCATTGCAGCTCCAGCATTAGCTACTTGAACTCAATAAGCCCACTTGTAACGTCCATAGAAGCACAACTGAATACAACACAATTTATAAGGAATGTGAAATAGGACCATGACAGCGATTATTAGGCCCCTGATGATTCCTCTTTCAAAAATTGCATGACAAACATTTAACAGAAAAAGTTTGGTCTCTGCAGTCTTAGGTGCGTTAGGTGGTAAAACTCTGGTCTGTGGACTGTGCTGGCTTTCATTCTGGTCCTTTTTTTTCAATTTAAAGATGGTGAAGTCTTCAAAAAGAAGTTCGTCGTGGCACAACAACTTCCCACATTCCTCCAAAACAACCAGTTTTTGTGCTATGCGACTTGGTCCTCAGCAATCTCTCATAGTACCACTCAACAGCACCTGCTTCGATGACGTTGGGGAGGCAAAATGGTGACGCAAATGACAAATGACACTTAGATGTCAGTCCTTCGTACGCTTAATTCTGCGGGGTGCAGAAATATGTTTGCGACCCGCAGTAATAACTTTGTGGCGTGGAATAGTAATTACTGTGATGATGGTGGTGATAGTTGTTGTTCTGTGGGGTGGAGTAGTAGTTGTGGTGGTGGTGGTGACTCTGGATGTTCCCGTAGGCAAAGAGCACAGGGGCGGTGGAGGATGGTGGCTGATGAGCGCCAGCCACGCCCACCGTCGGCGCCCCGTTACATTGGATGGAGCCGTACCAGCTCGAGGCACCCAGCTGGGGCGTGCTGGAGAGGAGGCTGAGAGGAAAAGAGACAGTGGAGAATTAATCAGTGACCATATTGACTTTTCAAAGTTTCCTTGAAAAACCAGACTGTGTTGGTGGTTGTTGTGCCCACCTGGCTCGATCAGCCCGACTGGTATTGCTTCTGGACAGGTCATCATCACTGTCATACCGTCGAGGGTTGTCAAAGAAATACGTTCTGGAGCTGAAACTGTGGCTGTTGATCATCCCTCCGGCAGTCTGAGAGATACGGTAGACTTTCAAGTATCTTCAGCATTTGAGAAAATTCACAGCTCATGTGGATTTTTAACGAATTCTCTTACCAGGTTTTGGTTGGGTCGCTGGACCCGGAAGAAAACCACAACTAAGCTGGTGGGTAGCAGCTCCCAGAAGAACGAAATGATCCCAAACACGATGTAGGCTTCACCGCTGATCTCCTGCACATCAGCCTGAAACAAACACACACACACACAATTTCAAACTAGGCCTCCCCCTGCCTCCAGTCTTCATGTGAAGAGTTTCCGTTTTGCTTATTTATCATTGGAAACACAGGTGGTTTTCTGGACTTCATGTCTGAAAACGGTTTCATTGAAGGCTAAAAAGAAAATGGGTGAAAAACTTGGTGCACACACTGACACACAAGGGACAGAATAATGTTGAGATGCTGAACCGACAGCTGTGATGCAGACAGATTAAAGGAATCATTTCTAATGTCAGATTACACACACACACAATGATGGAGCCCTTTCTAAAGGACTGTCCATCTCAAGGCCTGAGCCCTGATGTAGGTCAGAACACACACTCACACACACACACTCACACACACACACACACACACTCAGAGTTATTTATAGCCAAATGAAGCCCTCCAACCGACCACCAAGCCTTGCTTTCCCAAATCTCCTCAACACACACACACACACCTGATCCATTACCTGATCAGAACCACTGTACCAGCCATAGTTAAAGGGACTGGGTCGGTCCTGTGGCGACAGAACCACCACCACCAGGTTGTAACAGGCCCTGGACGTGAAGAGGAGAATCACCACGGCTCCGACGGCGGTCGCCTGGCACACTGACGTACCCTGCAGGAAGAGTCACTGTTTATTGCAGACGTTCACGCTCATGAATCAGAACTGATTCAGATATGGGCCACAGATGTGATCCACCAATATGACTGACGCCTCTCTGTGACTAAAATGAGAAACATCAGGCCAGAAATTGACTTTGATGTGAGGTAAGCATCTGCGGTGCCTGAGTCGTGAGTCACATTCATTGTATTCTGATGGTAACCCACAGTTCATGCAAACATGAAGGCTTTCTGTGCTTTTAACTTGAAATTTCATACATGCTAACATGAAGAGTCCAGAGCTACGACAATTATTTCATGCATTCCCGGTTTCACCTTAGATTCAAGGTAAACGTTGGCAGAGGACATCTTGGCAATCTTGAAGATGCAGACAGCCAGAGAGACGGCACACAAGACGAACAGACTGTCGCTGATCAGGACTCGGGCCAACACTGCATGTCTGATTCCCCCCTCACTGCAAAGAGGAGGATTTGAACTTGTTTAATAATAATCACAAATACACTGAAATGTATTGATCGCAGTGTTTTTTTTGTTTCGTTTACCTCGGTGATTCTGAACGCTCCAGAGCTCCTTGCACTAACAATGCACAAGTTAGATTCACCACCAGGAAAAATATACTGAGACACAGGAAGAACAAACGTAGAGGAACCCTGGAAAATACAGTTAGAGGAGGACAAGAAAACAAAAAATGATTTTATTTGTGGCACAAAACAGAAGAAACTGCACAAAACAATAAGGTCAACACAGAGAAAAGACTCACTTGTATTTGGTGAGCTCTGGAGAATACTTGGCTTTGGCCTTAAACATAACCTGAACAAAGACAAGACAAAATACTGCTCATAAACATATATCACTTTTATGATATTTTAACAAAACAAATATTTTTTCTTCAGGGGATATATCAACTGGCTGCTGCTCTGTTGCCAACATGTTATCAGGAGTGACCTTAAAAGATCAGACCTGAAGTTTACTAAAGCTGGGACACTGACCTCCACTGATCTAGTTCACTAACTTCCTGACACAACCTTTTACTTTTGAAAAAGATGTTTAATGAAATATTAACGAGATTAAGCTGCACAAACACATAAATTACGAATATTAAAGAATATTATATTTAAATTATCAGTCTCATTAGCTCATTTAATTATAGATGCAACAGGAACAAACCCATGACAGATTGCTCAACATGGTCAATATTCACTTTATACACACACACCAGAGTCTTTCAGTGGGAGATGATACAGTATTTCTTACTGATCATTACCTTCTATAGGAAGCAGAATGAGGGGAAGTGGATAAGGATTCATGGCCGACTCAACAGAATATTTCCACACATGCATGTGAGTGTCAGATGGTCGCCTGTGAGTAATGAGGCTTCAAGTTCCCCCTGAACTCATGAAAACACACTGCAGTGTCATTCTGTCTCATACAGAGACACTCTAAGACAGTGGTTCACAATCTTTTTGGCTCATGTTTCCCCCTTTAGCTTCACAGAAACCAAATATGGAGGGACACAAGTTTTGTATTGTTCAACAATCTAGCCCCAACACGGAAACACATCTCATCTGATATATATGCTATAACCTGAGTCTAAAGGAAAACATTTGAGTGCAGCAGTGAAGCAATGAGTTTTTTCAAGGGAAATCGAAGGAAAACAACGAGTGCAACTTTGCAGTGTCAGCACTTTTGCAGAATCAGGTCACAGGCACAGTGCACAGTGTCTTACCTGTGTGAAGTAGAGGTTGAGCAGGCAGAGTGTGAAGAACTGCAGGCAGACAGGGCAGCAGTACAGCAGCCAGTAGGCCAGGGGCTGCAGCTGGTTGGCCTGCAGCACATTTTTGAAGTAGAAGGAGAAGAGGGTGGTCCTGAGAGCTGCCCACAGCAGGCACAGGAACAGAAACACGCTCTGGAAGCTGAAGCGCTTGTGTCCGTAGTGCAAAATGAGCCAGAGCTGCAGGTAGACGAAGAGGAACAGGGCAGAGTAGAGGACAGTGTAGACAGTGGTGAGGCTGAGCTCCAGTGTTGGGGAGGCTGCAGCTCCTCCAGGGGACTCCTCCAGGGAGGTAAACAACCCGGAGGGGAGCTCCTCTCCTGCGGGAAACATCTCCACTAACACATGGGCAGCCTCAGACGCTAAAACTGGGTCAGATCACCGTGGATGACAAAAAAATAAGACGAGTGGAAATGCCAAGATGCTCATTCTGAGAACAAGTGGCATAATGAAACTGCGCTGGAATTAAAATACAATCAATTAAAAGCAACAAAAGAGAGAGAGAGGAGGAAAGAGGAGAGAGAGGTTCCTGTGTTGTTCTCTGCAAAAACAACTTGAGGGGGCAAAACCTCCAGATCAGCTGTGATGCACTTTTATACACGCCCCTTGCTCTAGATTCACAAAGAGAAACTGGATCATCTATGGCCGCCATTTTGGCTCAAAACTCTATTCACTCTCATGCGCAACAGCTGATTCCGGAGCCACAGATCCTAGGCAGTTTCCGAGCGCGACGGTTCCGCACACGCCCACTTTGCCAACGCGCTACCCCATTGGTCGACTCCACCGCCCAGCCTCCGCAGTTCCCTCACTCCATTGGCTCACGGTGATGTCAGCTGTGGAAGCGCCCCGCCCCTGCACGCTCATTGGCCAAGGTCTCTATGGGCGTTCCTCACAGAAGCGTCAAAACAATTCTGCAAGTTGAGGAAGTGAGTGCTTTCAAAATAAAAGTGCGTAATGTTGGTATTCACAGAAAAACCACCTACAGAGCAGACAAATTAAACCCACAACTTCACTTCTGTCATTTAAAATTATCCCCGTGTTTCGCGCATGGACTCCTCCGCAGAGCGCAATCAATTTCCAATAAAATATTTTATTTCGAAACAATCACAGGAAACCCTATTCGAGCTCTACTGCTGTGTCGCTGTTTCTAGTAAAGTTTGAGACATTTCTCAGTTTATCGCTGCGTAGTTTGGCGAAAAACTACTTTGATAATTATCTTGCTGTGTGTCTACAGCTCCCATCGACATGCATCCTCCATCTTTACACGTTTTAACGCGAGCTAGCTCCGAAAACCACATGCTAACATAAACAAACAGGCAGCTAGCAAGCCAAGCTAGCAACTTAGCATCACCACCACTGATAACTAAAGCCACTATTTGGACTTTAATCGCGATTTTAACACCACCGGGACAAACTCTGCCCAAAATCGCTGTGATCAATGTCTTCATATACGAGCGCAAGTGTGGTTTTGCAACTCGGAAAACGAAACTTGAACTTTAACCCTACTTCTGGCCTCCTCAGGTAACAGTCTGCTAGCATCCTTTGCTTTGTTTACCTTTTGCGTCCATTTAAAAGACTGGATATATGAAGCAGCTATGTATAATGATGAGGACAAACAGTCAGCATCCAGAAAGTATAACATGAATAATCTGTGTCTTCTCCCTCACTTTTGAACACCTCCCCTTCCAGAGGTCTTCTGCACCATGTGGATGTGCATTGCTGTTCTCCTGCTGTGGATGAAGTCAGGAGGATGCACAGAAAGGGCCAACACATCAGAGCTGGTTGAATACACCGCCCTGGACTTCTATGAGAAATTGCACTCTGGGAAAATGATGTTCATCTACTTTGAGCAGAAAGGTGGGAGCTCTTCACATAGAACTGGTTCCTTATGGAGTCAGTGAGCACGACAAAAAGAAATACGAGCCGTGAAGTCTGTCTTCTGTACGGTATTTAAAGCATCAATCTACAGCATTAGTGTCTGTGCTCTCTCTACAGTCTCTCCGACCATCTCTCTCTTCTTGGTGGAGCTGGAGATGTCAGCTGAAGCTCTGCACGATTATGGCGTCCTGGTCGGCAAGGTAACTACTCCTTCTGCAGTATACATTGCTTTGTGCATTGCAAAGTTTTCAGTCTCTCTATATCCAGACACAGATGCGAGCAAGTGACTGTGTTGCAGATCATTCACTTTACTTTCTTTCTGTTCAGGTTAACTGCAATAAAGAGCCGGTTCACACATACTGCACCGACGAGAGGCTTCTGCATTCAGCTTTTCTGTTCAGGTAGGTTGTGAAGGCAGGTAGTACTCAGTGGTGGGTGGTCACCACAGCATCACAAGCTACTGAGCTAAATCAACATCTCAACAATGTCAACATGAACATTTGAGGATTTACTGCAGGTCCGTTGTGTTACACTGTATTACTAAGAGGTAAATTATTCTCTGTGTCAGGGGGGGTAAGGAGTTCCTGGGTTTGGATTTGGACACTGTGTTTGATGTCAACTCCATCGTCTCTGAAGTCCTGTTGTAAGTAAATATCACCCTCTCTCAGCATTTTTATCACTTCCAGTTCATTTTTTGTCACTTCCACCATAGAGGCTTCTTTCCTTAAATGATAAATGGCAATATTGTGTTGTGAAGAATAAATGATGAATTTAAAGTTGTGGAAGATGATGAAACATGGTTCTGTTTTAATCCAATCAGTTTGAAATTAATCAAATCACTTTGATTATTCACTCAGTTTGTCCGTTTTTACTTCTGCATTTTTCCACATGCATCAGTTAATTTATGTTTCTGGGAATAATAACCTCAGCCGTATCGTTAAAGATGTACTCGACAGTTCATTTAATAAACAGCGTTTGTGTTTCTCCCGCCTGCAGCGCCATCCTGCGTGAAGAGGTCAGGTACGTGCACACAGACGCAGACCTCTTGGCCATGGAGAAAGCCGCCAGGGGGCAGAAGAATATTGTGCTGGGTTACGTGCGCAGTCTGGGAACACAAGGTGTGAACCGGGAGGAGAGGGTGGATCTAATGTTGAGTGAGAGCAGTTGTATATCGGAATCATGGAAAGGATCACACTGACGTATTTAACAGCTGATTTACTGATTGCTCTGTGTCAGGCTGCAGCTTGAGTCTCACTGATTGACTTGAATGACTCATCACATTAATTGTATTGTCTTTGCTGATGATGTCACATCAGAGCACAGATCAATGATGGAGACGGCGTATGTGTACGGATCCAAATACCAGTTCATCCTCATAACAGGAGGACCAGTCCTCAAACATTTAGGGTACCGTCTTTTTCCTTTTCTCTTCAACATTTCAAACGTGTCATCACACAGTTGAAGGATTTTTTCCTTCACAAGAAGTTTTAATCGACTGCGTTTCTCTCTGTCCATCCCTCCTTCAGTGTTAATCAATCGTCTCACTCGTCTCAAGTGTGGTTCCTCCACTGTAGAGTTCACAGCGGCTTCATGACCCCTATGACCTCTGAGCGCTGCCCTTTGACCCGCATGAGGAAACCTCTGTCCGTCCTTAGCCTCCACTCCTTCCTGCAGCTCATGGAGGCTCCACTGGTGGTAAGTAGGATGACAGTGTGGAATGCGTGTGGAGATCTCAATACTTGTTGTCTGTGATGCCTCAAAACGAAGCTTCAAAATAAATAAATGGTTTTCCATTGTAGCACAAATCAAGAGAATGTGAATATGAACTATTTATATGTACATAATAATAATAACATTTGTTAACGTTTGTGTCTCTCAACCACCAGTCTGAAGTATACAACGACCCCTCCATGGTCCCACCCCCTCAGTTCCCCTACCAGCAGACCCCCCAGGTCTTCCTCTTCTCCCGTCCCGAAACTGCGCACCTGGACCTGGACACAGCCACCACTCTGGCCTGGAGGCTGCGGGGCATCGCCCTGGTGCTGCTCGTACACAGGTGTGTCAGAGGAGCAGGAACATGTGTGAACAGGGATCTGAATGCACCACTTGTTTTCGTCTCACAATACTTTGTTTAAGCAAAATGATGTAGTGAAAGAAATGCAGCGGCTTTGCGTTACCTCATAATACCAGGATTGTTGCTTTATTTCTCTGACAAAACAGTTGGAATTTACCTAGTGTGTGTGTGTGTGTGTGTGTGTGTGTGTGTGTGTGTGTGTGTGTG